GTAGTTGGGGCAGGGCAGTTTGTTCATTCTGCAGCCACACCGACGATGGCAGTCACTCACTCTGCTTCAACAATATAAGTACGAACAATCTGCTTCAAGATGAGAGACAGCACATTGAAAGAGCAAAAAATTCAGAAATAGCAGAGCAAAAACAAATCCAGATTGAGCCCCGTGGGGGTGGGGGTCGGGGGAGGAGAAGCTACCTGTCCATGGGCTAATGGCCGGCGTTGCTGGGCGTCACCGGCTGCTCGGCGGAGGGAGGCGCTGCAGGGGGCAGTGGGGCAGAGGAGGCTCGGCGGACTCGGCGCGCCGCAGCGGGCGGTTGGCCTGGGTAGGTCCGGAACCCTGGCGGTAGGAGCAACACCAGAGAGGCGGACCGCTGCTGCTTGCCTGGATCGTGGCCGCCGGTGGATTGGATTTCATGATCGGAACGGCGGCAGCGGCTATGCGACGGGAGCTGGATATACATCTGCGTCGGGGATTTGTGAGGAAGGGATTGGAAGAAGTGCTACCCTTTTTACAAAAAATAAAATAAAATCCTTAAATGATATTTCAGATCTGACAATCAGAAAAAATTAGAAGCGGAGTTACACAAAATTACAGGTCGTAACTTGCCAATCACCGTAAAAAAGCTCGAGTCTTTTGCGGGTGACACCATCATGCAAATCTTAATAGGTACTCCCCAAATAGGCAATCAAGGAATAAAAAGTAATAGCCAATTCTGTTCCGCAAATCAGACTTATATTTCGTTGTAGGAAATGCTCTCTCAACCTTTGCAGTGGCGACCGTAAAATCGATATTAAGCTTCAGCAAAAGAAAGACCGGAGGAAAGGTTGTATGCTCCTTTTCTTCGTCTTACTTTTGGCAAAGTCCACCAGCACCTTTCAAATCTGAGAATCTGGAGTCAACGTGGAGATTTGCAACAAAGTTATCAAGTTGGCAACAAAGTTATCTGACCTTGCTTTCACTAACAAAATCGTCAGAGTTGGCAACTAAGTTATTCAACCTTGCTTTCACTAAGTTATAGATGAGCCATGGCCAATATTTTTTTCCACATAAAAATTGAAGTCTGCCTTGCGATGGTGGTCTTCTTCTCCTCCAGGAAGGGGCGCTGCAGGGCAGATGCGCCCCGCACCACGCAAGAGGCGCAGATGCGCATAAGCACCAAATTGCCTGGAGGGAAAATCGGAGAGATAGAGGGGTGATAGAAACGACTGGCGGAGCTATGTAGGCTCCTGGGGTGGCTGTGGCCCCCCCAACATTGCTGCAACTTGTGAAGGAAAAAAATTGTGAGGGCTTAAATGAGAATTTTTTTAGCTTTTGGCCCCCCCAAACACTCATATTTTACCTTTTGCCCCCCCCAATGGATTCTTGCTAGCTCCGCCACTGGAAACGAGAGAGCAAAAGATGGAAGATGGTCCAGATCAAGCATCTTTTTTTTTTGGAAATGGAGGCGTGCCCCGAGATCAAGCAGCTGGAGGTGGTGGTGCTTACGAGACTGAGCACCAACTCCGTGCGCCGGCCCAGGTACCACCCCCCGTCAAGATGGAAGATGATCCTGATCACGAGCCATGAAATTGTTGATGATTGCTGCAACATTTCTCTAAAAAAAATTGTTGCATGTGCTTGTATGTCTACGCCTATGCATGCTAGACGTATGTCCACCAAGGGAACAATGCAAACAAAACTGAAAGACAGCTTCCTGAACAAATCACAACGGAGAAAAATAATATCTGAGCATGTGAAATGCAACTGAGATGGTCACTTCTTTTTTGCTCTACTAGTTGTGTGTTAGAGACAGCTGCATTGTTGATGTTTTTTTCTGAAAAAACTGAACCTATGCATGCTAGATGCTTTGATTTTCGAAAGTATGCAAATGCTGCCACTCCCTGTATAAATAACTGAAACCTGAAAATGGACCGAGAGCCAGAGCCTAATGATAATAAGAATGAGAGACAGACTCATACATAGTGACACTTAGAGAACACTTATGACTGAATATGGTTTGAAAATGTAGAACAATGGAAATGACTGAAAATAATTGACAACACTCATAACTGAACTACATAAATGAATAGAAGTAATTCAATAACTGATAGGCTGAATATACACTGAAAAATAAATAGAAGGAAGTAAAGAGTCAAGGGAGGTGAGTGGTTCGTCTGACACTTACTACGCCCACGCATGTAATAGTGGATCCAGTCAACAAAACAAAAAAAAAACAATAGTCCAACCCCGAAGTCGCTCATGTTAACCGAATTTAGTAGGGAAATAAAAAAAATGGCAAAAAATGTTTCCAGTGTTTGCTTGAAAAGTGTTAAGACCAAAAAAAAAAAACTATCTACCGTCTATAACTGAACTTGAACTGAACAAAATGAGCACTGTTGCCCAGAATTGAACTAAATGGTAACTATTTGCTCATAATTAAACAAAACTGAATGCCAAAAATGATCCAGAAATGTACATAGATGATAGGCTGATAGCCAACTTGTGAATGTGTAGGGATTGAGCATAACTTTATAACAAAAAATGGAATGGCTCACACAACTTGTTTTGTTTTCATGCATCTCAAAAAATGCTGATGCGGGCTTGTTGGATCTCTGATTTCACAGCATGTATCTGACCATGGTGGGATTCAACGCCACTGACACCCCATTCAATCCATTTACGAGCTATGTATGTGATCTGGAAAATGAAGACCAAAGTACTGAAATGATAAATGTATAGTCCCTGTAACTGAATATTGACTGAAGAAACGACAATAATGAAACTATCATGTAGTGTCACCACATGAGGGCCTCAAGTTAGACTTTCTCGATGAAAAGGGGTACATGCAGAGAAATGTTGCTAAGGAGAAATAGACGCAGAGAAGACAGCTACAGGGAAAATGAGGTGGTTACCTTTTCACTTAGAATATGACTGAGCGGATGTAAGTACAATATAATGACTATGACTGTACAATATAACACTGAATATGACTAAAAGAAGGGCACTGAATCGACCTGAAGTAAAAATATGAATGAGTAAAAATAATGAGTAATGAAGAAAGAACGCTGAGTAATGACTGAAAAAATAAACCTAAGAGATAATACAAACAAAAACTGAACAAAATTTAAACTGAATAATACAAAAAGTAACTGAACATAACTGAATATAAACTAATGACTAAAGGCCTGCAAAAAATGTCAGGACTGAGATAATTAATCAAATGTTAAGAAAAACAAATGTTAAGAGACTAAGAAACTAAGATGAATTAAATGTTAAGAAAATCATAACAACAAATGACTGAAAAGAAGGGACTGAAAACAGTCTGAAAACTTGTAAACTGAATTGACTGAACAATACTATAAGCTGAGGAATGCAAACTAAAAATGACAAGTACCAAAGACACAAATAAAAAAAGTGAAGGACTAAAACTAAATGGACTTGAGACTAAGAAGAGGAATGAGAAGAACTCTGAATTTGACTTAAATAAAGATTACTGAGGTACGCCAATCAAATTACTCATGTAGTAATGCTCAAATCTTTCAGGATGCCGTTGATCTACTTTTGGCTGAGCATGAACCAAAAATGTTAAATGGTTGCAAATTTGTAGGATGCCTAGCATGAGTTTGTCCAACCTGGAAACCTTGAGGAAAAAAAGGAAGTGTGAAGGAAGAAAAGGATAGATGCAAAAAAAGGGTCAGTGCTACTTTGTCACTTGATGATGTGCTATCCTCAAAGCAATCGATACTGGACAGACCGACATCAGAGTCATAGTTGGTTGGTAGCCACCGCTCGATGACCTCTGAGCCGTAGAGTCCCTAGACCTTCTGCAGAAACAAAAAAAAAACACATGTTATGTGGATGCAATGTAAAATGGGGGATTTACTAGCAGCAGATGTAATGAACAGCCAAAAAAATAAGGCCAACAGAACCATATAAACATTACTATGCTAGTGAGACGTTGCGTCGAAACGATTAAGTACTAATCAAATAGTAACACCCCTTAAACAAAAGTTCACAGGGAAAACATTCAGAGGACACTGCAGAAACATATCAAACAAAAAAGTACAGACATCTTCGTGTCCTGCAGCAAACCCATTCTGTAAAAAAAAATTAGAAAGTAACTGGCTGCCATTAGAAGCATTCACTAAGATCTTGAAACACATATAGTGTGCGAGCTCCCTCCTTGCTATTGCTGAGAAAAAAAGGTAACAAACACATATACTGAATGACCTGAGGATCGTGAAGCCACTATTCCCCTGCATCACCCCCTGCGTTACTGCTTGTTATACTATTATATGGCATAATTACCCGCAAAAAAAAAACTATTATGGCATAACATATTGCAGGAATTCTCCAGGACTACTGCTGAGAAAGAAAATAACAATACATACACTGAATGTCCTCCCAGGAAAATACAGTAAACTGAATCTGCCTAGAACTGATTACATCTCATGAGAAAATAAACCTGAGTAGGTCTCATAATCCACTGAATCAGCATAGAAAACTGACTAATATGCCAGACACATTACCCCGCTGAATTCAATAATAAACCAAAAAAAGCACTATGAGCTAAGTCTGCCTAAACTGAATCTGCAACCTGACACAAAAGGCACTATGAAAACTGAACGAACAAAGCCTGAAATAAATCCAGGAAAAGCGATCACTTGTGCCAAGTCTAGGACTTACCACAAAGAACCTAACCATCTGATCTATGCTCAGTTCACATATGATTGGCTATTAGGATGTTGTTTTGCATAGACAGATATGATGCATAGGTGCTATTAGGATGTTGTCATGCAGGGATTCCACATAGTATCATGGCAATTTTACATGTTTATTAAACAGATATATGTGTGCTCACAGCAGCTTTGAACAAACAGGGGCCACTCGGACAATCTGATAATGGCTTCTGTTACTAAGTTACAGATACAAAAGAGGAGCAAACACACATCTGGTACTACAACAGACCATCAAACACTGATGAAAGTTGCGTCTATCGGTACTTGAGTCCATCACACTAGAGAACCAGTAGGATCACCCGCTGCCCATGTGGAGTGGGCATAGAGCACCCGGCCTTTCCATCCTTGCAGAAGCCACCGGTGATCCTCGCAGATCATGAAATGCTTGTGGTACCGATTCTTCACTTCGTCCTTGAGCATCAGAACGATATCAGGGTCCAATGGCAGCTGCCTTAGCCCCGCTCGCTGGTTCCGCGTCTGCCACTCCTTGTAGTTCTGAGGGCGCTCCACCCGGTCTGCGCCTTCGCATGCGATCCTGTTTATGGCGGACCGTGCAAATATGTCCCGCTCCACCAGAAGTCTCTTGTCGCTGTCCCGTGGAATGGTGGTCTCCATGACATCGAACAACGCCGTGAAGTAGTAGAGCGCATGGCGGAACCGCGTCATAAAGAAGGCCGCGCTGTATGGTCCATTGACGACGGAACTGACGAACACAGACGGCCTCATCTTCCTGATAGTGTTGAGTACCATGTCCCTTGGGCTTAGCATGTCAGAGGTGAGGCTCTCGTCCATCAAGGTCCTGAACTCGTATAGGCTGCTCACCACCAGGACCTCATCTGGATTGATGTGCAGGTCCTCAGCCCGGACATCCTCAAGCTTGGATGCGATGGCGCGGAACTCGAATGGCACGCCGAACTGGCTCGCGTAATTGTTGAGCCGGTGCCCTGCCTCCTCCATTAGAGCAGCCGGACAGGGCCCGGGCTGAGGGGTGTTGATGCCGGTGATCTTCACTTGTGGTGGCCCACCCTCCCTATTCGCCAGTAACCGGAGCAAGTCCGGCCACTGAATCCCGGTGCTGATGCCGTAGTGCACAATGTGCAGTTTCCTCCTCCCTACAACGGCCTTGTAGATGGTGTGGGTGGAGAAGAGCAACCCCACCTTGATCGAACAGCTCGCGGCCGTGTGCACATGGTAGGCCCTGATGAGCTCCAGGGCTGAGGTGCGCTTCCCCATGAGCGATCGGTACAGTCGGCTCCCCGTGCCAGCCAGCCGTGCCTCCAGCCCCTGGGCGAAGTAGTGCGCCAGCCGCTGCCTGGCGTCCCCTGTCGGCGATGAGTGATACTTGATCCGCTCCAGCAGCTTGCTCGCGCCGCACACGTCGTTGCTGGCCACTGCTTCTGCACAGCGGACCAGCAGAGTCTCTAGGTCAGTCACCACCGTGTGCCTCGCCCCGCGCCTCCCACGCCTGGAGATGCTCTGCCGTGCTGCCTTGTCCTCCTTGTCTTCCCAGGTGACACGTACTACCTCCTGCATCTCGCTCGGGCACGCTTCGCAGCCGTTGAGGATGAGCCGGTCCAACATCTCCAACGCGGTGGCTTCCGCCTCCTCCTCCTCCTCCTCCTCCTCCAAGGCAGTGGCACTATGCAGCACCACCATTATTTGCTTGCTGCTCCTGCCCAAGCCTGCCTCCGTCTCACCATCCATGCCAGGTCTCTTCTTACGCCCCCTACCATCCACCATCACATTGTCTGCGGGCAAGAACCTGTTGGCCTCCTCCATGCCTTTGAAGAATTCCATGCTGGTGCTGCTCTCGCTGGGAAACACCACCATACCATTGGGCTCCACCGTGCCTGTGTCATTCAAGAAGAAGGCTGGATCCTGTACCTGGTACCCAGAAACCATGACGTCTGTGTCATTTCCTTGGCTGGGCATCAAGATGGAGGTGGAGTCGGCAAAGGACTCCTGGTCGGCGGCGGGTGAGGTGTTGGCGAGGATCTCGGCGAAGGGCTGCTCCGCCTGCAGGAGCTTCGGGTGGTCAGGGTAGTGGTAGAAGAACTTGTCGACGATGTCCTCCTCCGTGAGCATGCGCGAAATGTATTCCAGGGCCATGTCATTCTGTGAGTCACCATGGGTCGTCGGAGGAAGGTCGAGGAAGACGGAGGGGGACAGTGGTGCAGGCTCGGCGAGGCCCAACAACTCCTCCGGTGTGGCAGCCATAGTGGAGTGTATGCTGTTGCTGATGCTGCAGTGACAATATCTTGGGAGTTAGACTGGATATATCATTTCCTACTCCACCCATTACATGTGAAGCCAACAAGTACATCGTACAATACGTTGCTGTCTGTTGGAACCATCGTAGCTTCACATTTCACAAGGTTAGTTTAACCATCCACCGGCCGGCCGGCCTCTGCACCACTGTCGCAGCCGGCCTTCTGTCCTTGTCTGATCAGAAGCAGGCAACTTTCTTGTAGACATCAATTTGTGTTTAAAAATGTCAGGCTGCTGTGAGTTCGCGTGTAGTAGCACTAGCAGGTAAGATCATTAAAAAGATCTCTAGTATTATCCTGAGAATTGATTAGTTCACATGTACTAGTAGCAAGTTTGTAGAAGCATTTAACCTGTAACCATGTTCAGTCATGCTTCTTTCCTGCTCCACACTTGGACACCTGCAAGTAGGCAAATGGATTTGTATGATGAGAACGCAGAGAAAGAAATTACAAATTCAAGACATTTCAGTTATCCTTTTTCTTTGGACAATGCAGGAAACAGGAGAGACATTTAGCATGCGGCAGTGGCACCCTATGGCGTTATTCATATTCGTGTCTAAGAGCGAAATTTAAGATGTTTTAAGGAAACAGGAGGGGATGCCCCAGCTGTATCTTATACTAATGTCCATAATATTAACCTCTTCTATGCAGAAAATGTATCAGAAGGAAAATATATCGGGACGACTCTTCTTTACAAAAGGAACATCATGTAATCTGTTAAAAATAAGCGATGAAATAATCAGAAGTTCTCGGACCTTCATCTTCCTTACCAGCGTCGCACAAATCCATCAGGCCATGACAGAGAGTTCAGATGGTTCCTGTGAACATACAAAGCTCAACTTCAAACTCTGGAGACTGAACAGCCACTGTAGTGGTCAGTTGCATCAAACAACAAAACGAGTATGCGACTAGTTCAAATTTACCAGATCATGTATAGTAGCCATCACCCAGACAACACACAACCGTATATACATTTATCTTATACAGTTGAGTACAAGAAAAGAGCTAAGAAAATGCGACATCAACTGAATTGATTCAAGCTGTCCGATAAGTATTGGATTTGTCAAATGCATCTTTCAGGTTGAGAGCATGCATAAACCACACCACAAACAGTATAGTATTAATACCATATCTGCTTATGTTCAACTGCAGGAAAATACTACAGTTAACAGTGGGAGCTAGCACCGTCTGCCTTCCATGTTGAGTGAGCCAAGAGGATGCGACCCTTCCACCCCTGCAGCAGCCATTGGTGATCCTCGTTGATGACGAAGTCCTTGTGGTATTCATTCTTTACCATGTCCCTAGCCATCTTAACAGTTTCGCTGTCCAGTGGCAGCTGCCTCAGGCCTGCCCGTTGGTTTCTGACTTGCCAATGCTTATAGGTCTCACCACGCTCCACCCGGTCCTTTCCCTCATATGCGATGGCATTCAGGACAACCCACCCAAAGACGTCGCGCTCCAGCGCCAGCCGCAGTTTGCTCTCCCGTGGCACGGTTGCATCAAGCATGTCAAACAGTGCCGAGTAAAAGAAGAGGGCCCCTCGGAACCGTGACAAGAAGAAGGTGCCATGGGAGCCATTCACGGTGCTTTGGACAAACACGTCCGGTTTCATCTCGCTGATGTTGCTGAGGACAACATCGCGGGGGTTCGGGCTGCCTATTACGACGCACTCATCCATTAAGGTCCTGAAATTGTATAGGTGAGATCAGATGCTAAAACACTGCACTAAGCATGAAGTGTTTTACTCTGCTTCTGATGTTTGGCAAAATGAAAGCGCAGCATACGTGACCCATACGACCCACTAGTCCCAAGTCCTTAACTACAATTCAAATTGTATCTCAGTTACACACATACATAGTTACATCTACTACTTTGTCGCATATGAATCTTAAAGGACACAAGTCGTGCATAAACAAAATTATTTAAGTGGAAGCTTGAAAATTATGCTGATATGTCAAAAGTGTAAAGAATATGCTGGGAGAGGCCAACATATACCTTTAAAATCTTGAAGATGCTATAGTTCATAACAAACTTACTCATGCTTAATCTGCAGTCCTATATCCCTGCCACGATCTGCATACTTGACCAAATCAGTAACCTCCTTCAGGCCTGCAAGCAAACAAATAAACACATCACATGATGCTATGAACTTTTTAAGGTGAAACAATAGAGATAATTAGCAATAAAATCAAGCACAATGGATGTACATAGGCTCACTCAGTATTCCTTGCTGCTCTGGTTTTGCTCTGGACATGTGAAGTGCATAACAAAATGCAAGCCATTGGGCCAATATCTGAAACCAAAAAAATGGCAGAGCAGTATGAAGATGGGCCTAGAAATGTAACACAACTCGAGTACAGATTTCGTTTCTTCAAATTTATTTCACACATCGGTCTCCAAAACGCTATCTACAAATATGTTGATCTTCATACGCTAACCGTCCAGGTTAAGAAGATTTGACCTGAACGAAATTGCTGCGCTGGCGTGTTCACACGTACATAAACGCATGGTTTGCAGCAGCTTGGCGGAGTGGGATGGCTTCATCCTGTCGGTACAAAATAATTAGCCAATGATGTAATGCCCGGCGGCGGCACGGCGGCCGGGGCGGAGGCTGGCAGGGGAGCAGCCAGCCAAGGCAGAATCGGCGCCCGCCGGCCGGGGCCCGGGGTGCAGGAGAACGGCGAGGTTG